CCTTAAAACATTATTTTGTCACAAATTAGCTTTATTTAAATGTATTTATAGAAGACAGGTCTGCAAACCCACAACAGAGCTGTCACCAAATATGGAGATACATGGTTTTAACAGGACATTGGAAGAGTCTCACTGCCCAGTGTTTTTTTAGAACCTGGCAACCCAAAATGTGTTGTTCTTTATTGCTTATAACTTAGCTTAAAGGCATACTTGTTATTATAAATAATTAAGTCACATATTATATATAACTCTTTTCAAAGTGTGCCTAAATATCTTATAGTTTAGATTATGAGCAAACAAATAACTGTTTATGTCTTTATCAGAACTCATGCATTATGTATTGTACGGTGTAGTTGCATGCAGTACGAACCTACAGATGTGAGCAGGAGTCCTCGTTGAGTTTGTTTGGGATCAGTTTCTTCAGTGTGTTTCCCAAAAGTTCTCAAGAAGAAAATCACCATACCATAACAGTCACACACAGTAACCAGAAGAATCTGTCTGTCCGATTTTCCCTTATACATGACAGACACCCCCTAGACCCACTAGATGTGTAGGCATGTCAGAGGAGTGTGTTTTCCTGTGTGTATATGTGTCCAATGTTGTCCGCTGGAGTGGAGTATAAGTGAGTGTGTTCCACAAGTGTACATGTGTGTGTCTCACTACCCTCGGTGCCATTGTGGAAGATAAGGTTTCCGGCCCCCTGCGCCCACATCTTCATCGCCATCCGTCATGATGTCACCTCTCCTGGCCCAGAACAAAGCTATCTCCCTGGGAGAAGCCGTCCTGTCGCGCTCCCTGTTCAGAGAGCACCCAGCCCTGCCCTACTCTGCCTCCATGCTGCCTGCCCTGATAACAGCCTCGCTCCCTGGCACTCACAAAAACATGGAGCAACAATGGAGATGCTGATGGCCCCCTGAGCAATCACTACAGGAGAGTGCGGGTATGTTAGTGCTGTTGGAGCAAGGAAACTGTGTAGGTCGATGCTGTCCAGGAACATCACTCCACGAAAAAGTGGAACAATGACAGTTGACTGGCCAGATGTTTTTTATTATTTGATCAGTGTAAACATTGGTCTGATAGCCAATATGATGCCTCCTGGGGGCAGCGGAAACAAGTTCTTAAATGTATCAGTATCATTTGTCCACCAGTTATAGTTGCTAGTTTTGTCTATCAGCTGTTAGTGTACAGTGTTTTACAGTTTATATAGCTTATCATAGGGGTAACTGTGGTTGTACGGTAGTGCGGTCGTCTATTGGAAGGTTGTGGGTTCAATCCCAGCCCTTGCAGTCAACATGTCGATGTACCCGGCCTTGGGCAAGGGACTTAACCCCGAGTTGCTCCCAATGGCATGTATGAATGTGCTTACTTGACTAAATGGTACATTGCTCTGTATGAAGGGGGTGTGAATGGATGAATGATGACTTGTGGGATGTGAAGCGCTTTGACATATAAATACAGTCCATTTACCATTTGTTTGCTGCCTGGGAGCAATGAGAGTGACCCAAAAACTTAAGTTGTTCAAGAAATACCAAACAATGAGCTAAAAGTATTACATAATGCAAGGCAATGAAATATGTCAACTTGAACAAAAAAAGAAATGTTGTCTGCAATAGAATGACTGGAAATTAGCTTCACAATCAGTCTGAACCCTTTTTAAGGCCATTGTCTGTAAGTTAAGAGTGATTTATGACTGGAGTTCACATTAACTATTTAGGTCAACCAATCATCTGTCCCTAACCATAATCATAAACTTATCAAGTGCCATGCAGAGATATATGAGGAATAAATAATTAATAAAGTTGTGATTTTTCTTTGACAAAGTACATTAAAAGCTATTATGATATGAAATGTATTGATAATATTTATTTCTCTTGATTCTAAAGTAGTTGGTTACCCTATGATCATGCCTGTTGGGAAATTAGCCAACAATTCCTACTATGCAAAAAAAATATTGCAATATAGAAGACAGTTTGCTATCTTCATGCTCCTCAGTCAATGAATCATTTTACATTCTGGCTGCTTTATGTTTCCCCCTCAAACCAAACGGAAGTCTAAATAAAATAGCATTACGACCATTTTTGGAATAGGCCTATGTAGGTTTAAGGGTCATGATTAGTCTGGAAACCTTGACACGTTCAAAATTAACGCAAATTATTCACAATACCAAGTTGGACTCAAATTGACTCAATGTTTACCATGAATTGCATGGCATTGAAAAAAAAGCAGAGGAATCTGCACATGCTACACATTACATTAACTGGAGACCACCGCACATCAGTAAGCAGTAGGAAAATACTCCATCAAAAATGGACAAAATTCATTTTGACGAACCAAGCAGCGCTTTCTTGAAGTTGAGTTGGATAGATAGTGCTCACAATATGATAGCAGCAGAGATAATATTCCCTGTATACAGTGGCGGCGCCAGAGCATTTTTGTTGGGTAATCTATGGTAGGGCTAACCCATACAGTGGTGGTGCTCAAGTCAGTATTTGCAATGTAATTACATACACGCTATATCGCCCCCCTTGACAGTGAAACGCCACGCGTGAGGTTTAGATTATTTCCCTGTCTCAATCAAAATGGAACTGTATGAAATAAAACGGCACATTTGTCTTGTAGTAAATAAAAAGGGATCACTGTGAACGTGATGTATGATAGTACACGTTGAAGATCCAATGGGGATACTGAATGGCGGTTTCGATTGATCTCAATCAATAAGGCATGACGCAGATCCAACGTTGCGTTGCTCTGATTGGCTGTAGGTCTATTCAAATTGCATTCGGAGGCATTTTGATCTGACCGCGGCCGCGCTGATATTATAACGCCAGAGAATTTCCACACCTTTAGTGTATAAAACTCCCCCACTACTTAGACTATTCCTTGCACCCCTCTTATAGCATAAACCCGAATGGTCTCAACCATATTGCATCAGTAACGTGCACTTGTTGGCCCAATCCCAAACACGCTGTTTACAAGTAGTTCCAGCAAACATCCACTGATAAATTGCGATGTTAACAACCTCATGATAACCTCATATTTTTTTAACTTAGGATCATACCTGTGTTTAGTCTAGAAAAAGGTCAATGTGTGCATTTTATTATAAAGTTGTGTATATTTACAGACTGTTGCAAAAACTAAGAAGCTTATAAACATCAGGTTTAAAACTAAAAGAGCTTTACAAAAAAGTAACACAATGAAAGATGTTTGGAGTTTTATTTGAGTTCTTAATTTACATTTTTTGTCTAAGAGATGCTGATTTGAAACCGTTGTTACATACAGTTACGGCATTTCCTGTTTCTGCCGGAGAGAGGGGAGTTTGTCCCAAAGCTTGCCGCTGTATTTACTCCCTCCATCTGACAGGAGGGAGCCTCGTTCAGCTGCGAGTGTGGCTACAGACGGAGTTCACTCCGTCACGGAGGGGTAGGGTCGAGGGAGTGGTTTGGGATTGGGCCGTTGTTACAGCAGGATCAGTTTGTGTGCTGTGGACACGACCCGTATATTTTCGCAATCCGTGTTCTCAACATTTAGCATTTCGCTTATTATTTAATTGAATTTGCATCACTTTTCATGGTGGGGCTAAGGTGGGGCTAAGCCATTTCTTGGTATGGCTGTAGCCTACCCCAGCCATACCCTGGCGCCGCCACTGCCTGTATAGCACACATTGTACAGAGGGTCCTCTCAGCGGTTCTCCATAACAGTGTCTTTGTCAATGTAATAGTTACATTTTGCATACCTCATGACAAGAATTCAGGGTTAGTGTTAGGGTTAGGGTTAGGGTTATCAAAAATTGAAAAAAAACACTTATTTCTCTTACGTAACGTCCACACGGTTCCGTTGCGTGCTTCAACAGAGACGCTTCCCATTCACTTTGAATGGGGTGACGTCAACCTTTGCCGAACTGCATAGTGGTTCCGTTGCTTCGCTTTGCCTCCGTTGCTCGCGCTGAACGTTGAGAAAAGTGAAACTTTTCTGACCAGCGGGCCATTTTGGATCGGCCCTCAGCAAATTCAAAAAGTATAATGGAGTACAGTATGGCTCACAGATTAAACTTGTGTTTGTCTTATATTGTACTTCTCAAATATAGATGAAAACAGATATTACACAGTATTCATGTGTTATGAAGCCCACTTTTCAAACAATTCAGTCAATTAAAGTTGACATTTTTTTCTATCAAATCTAAGTTGATAAGAAAAAAGCCCAGTAACTTATTTTCATAACACGCTTGAAATAAACCCTTCCTATTTCCACTTATTATAATCAATCTGAAGCTTCTGTTTTAAGGAATGAGCTGCTAACAAGATAAATGAAACCCTATGGAGAGCTGTGATGTATAGGCTGTTTTTTTCTTACAGCATTTTCAAGTATTAAGCATAATTTACCTACATTTGATTTATTTAGCTTACTTATAACTTAACTTATCAGGGAATATACCTCATCTCTAGTGAGTGGCCCAGCCCTTCGTATGTTTTTCTGTATGTGGCCCTCGGTGAAAAAAGTTTGGACACCCCTGCTTTAAATGAATTATACAACGTTTTCTTATTTATTTTCTAATAATATTTGCCAAACCCCAAAAGATAAAATTAGAATGTGCTAAGACAAGACACCTGAGGTTAAAAAGATTATCATAGGCAATGCTTTGCTGCTGAATCTAATAAGGAAACTAGGTCATTCTTTCAAAGGGTAAGCATTAATGCTCTCTCATGCCTAACCTTCCTGAAAATAAATTTCGAGTTCACAAAAAGGACACACAATAGTATGCAATTATTCATAGACCACGATTCTTGACCTCTGACAGTTGGACAATTCAATAATTCATAATCCATTAAATTAGAGCCTTTAGACAACCTTCTTTTTGAAATAATATCCTAATATTTTGCATTGACAAATTTGCTGCCGCCAGAGGGGATTTCAGCATTTGTATTTCAAGGTTAAAGTGACCGTTTGAAGCCAGGAGAGAGACACACACACACACACATACACACACAGACACACACAGGTACTGTAGTGAAGGAAGTCCTTTAATGGTGAGGAAACAGGCAGAACTGGCAGAAGGAGATAAGACCCCGCAGACGGTGTCCTGTACAAAAAATGAATTGAAAACAAAATGGGTGGAGGACCGAAGAAGAGAGAGGAAGAGAGGGGGTGGCGATGGCGCGGGAAGAGGGTGAGTGAGTTATCAGCCATGCAGGATAGTAGTACACCTCATCTCTAGTTTGGGCGGTGCTTTTGCTTCTTTTTTTCTCAAGATAACAGGCGGTTCACTCCAGATTGTTGCTTTGAGTTTGTTGAGCTATTTGGTGTTGGCGAGATGTGAGCTTGTGGTCAGTACTGCAGGTAGATGTTTAGTCCTGTGTTACGTTCTTACAACAGGATGACGTGTGGAAATTGGCTAAACTGTAACTGTGCAGGCAATACAGTCCTTTGCCTTTATACAGCACATTTCTGTATTTGTATTTAAATATATATAGTCCTGCTAACACTTTTTATACTCTGAACTAGTTCCATTAATTACCGTATTTCCATATTCAGAGACCGTGACACTTCTTTTTGTCTGAAGATTGTCTCGTTTTTTTGTACTTTTTGTTACTGAGGCCTGCAGTACATTTGGGCTGCACCAGTCTGCCAGCATTGAAGTGACGAGACTCCAGCAGTTTCTTATATAGAGCCCTGGATGGCAGCCATTGGCACGGACCAGCAGCCTTCTCTTCACATGGTGTACGCCACCCAGTAGATCACGTTCACCACGGCGAAAGTGAAAGGGAACACGGCCCTGGCGTAGATGTCGATGGTGTCAGCATCAATGGGCTTGCAGACGCACTTGGAACAGCACTTCTTGTCCTCCGTGCTCTCCTCCGTCTGCCGGGATCTTCTCCTCCTGGGCTCGGACTCCTCGCTGCCGCCCTCCCTGGGGATTTCACTGCTGGAGCGCTTGGGCCGCCCGTGGCGGTTGGAAATCATCACGCCCTGGTTCATTCCGGTGACCGACAGGGAAAACAGAACCATGGCCTGTTTGCCGTTCTTCACAATGGACTGTATGGAGGCAAAGAGAGAGAGGCGTGTCAGCACTTTCTGGGGCTTTACAGGCAGTTTTCAGTCAATCAGCAGCAAATGTAGTCAAATCCTGCAAAATGGCTGTTTCAACCATCAGTCATCTAGTTTAATAGTAGTCTAGAATCCAGAAAAATAAGGGAAGGAAATACTAAAAGACAAAAAGAGATGGAATGATGTTTTAAAAATGCATCTTTACGCAATTTGAATATTGCACCTTCCACAATTTCTTCATAAAAAATCCCAATAGATCTAACAGTGAAACACTTCTTGATTAAACACCTTGAATGTTTAGCACCATCTGTTTACACTCCTTTCACTTTATTATAGAAATACTTGGGCTTTTTTACATATTACAACATCATCTTTTGGATTTTAGTCAAATAAAACTTTAGCCCCATCTACTTTAGATATAATGATAATGAATCAACAATCCAGAACAGCAATGAACAACCTCTGTCACACAACACATTGGCTAGTATTTGAGTCATTATTAAAGAAACAATGTTCTTTAACGTGTTCTTTTTAGGTTTTGGGAGACTGTAGCTGCATTGGTAACTTTTTACAGTCATTGCAGCTGTACTCACTTTGACAATGCATGCTGGGTCCCCACACATTTGTAATCACATCACTGTGAGGTTTAATGTGACTCACTTCACTCATCTTTTTCTGTCATACCCTGTCTTATGGTATTTCTTTTATTCCATTTGGACATTCAATATACAAAGAGTCAACACATCTGATGGTGTATCTCAGCATGATTTATATCAACCGCAAAACGAACAGACAGTATGATGAGAATCACTATTACTCCCTGAAGGGAAGTCTTCCATTTCCCCATTATGCTCTATAGAGATTCAGTGTCGTGCTGAAGGTCAGTGGGATGGATGCACAGGAGTGGGAAGCCCGGCCCAGGTCTATGTAATGTATGAAAGGCGCGCACATTACCCACTACAACCCCCCCCCCCCCCATACGTTGTTACTTGCTGATGGGAGTACATGATGGGAAAGATTTCCTCACCTCTGAGCTTAGCTTGTTGGCCTTCACCTTGGCCTTCTCTTTGAGTCTGTAGTCAGCGTTGTAGTGAGCGAAGGCGTACTCGATGAGTGCCGCGAACACAAACACGTAACAGATCCAGAAGTAGACGTCCAATGCCTTGATGGCCGACGCTCTAGGAAGGGAGGAGCGGGCGCTTACCATCAGGGTGGTCATAGTGAGAACAGTCGTAATCCCTGTGGAAAGATCCAGATGTAAAGTACAGATTAGGATGCTGTTGGTTTTTTGCCATGCTAGCAACACTGCCTAAGTATAGCTGTAGAAAGCCGCTAAAATAGTATCATTAACAGAACACACAGGCTGTGAACAGAGAGCCAATATTCTGTCTTCTGCTACATTTCATTATTGATATTCATCAATTTCAAGAGGAAAAATACATTATGTTGACAATACTGGAAGGGAATAGCAATAATGGTTTTTGATGCTTGCAGCCTTGGTGACACTTCTGGCCAGTTATCAATCTCAAATATCCACTTCTACACATAACAAATCAATATCTAATGGGCCTATTGCCATATTATTGAGGATATTGTGCTACTTACAGGATTAACTTTTTCCACCTGGGACATTTAATGAGCTTGTGCCATTTTCAGGACTTTTACACAAGAACTCTCATTATCTAACTGTCAGTCTGCAATGAAAATTAGGAAAATAAAGCACTTTTTGAACATTAAATCATTTAAAAGGTCACAGTAGAAGCAAAAAATTAAAATATTAACCTGAAAATGCACAATCTTTTTAAGTTAACTCTTGTTAAAGAACGGTCTGAAGCTCTGCACGTTTCTACAGATGAATAAACAGCAATTTTGAGGTTCCACTTTTTAAAATGTATTCTTAAACGTAAACACAATCAAACTAATACCAACCCAAGGACACACGAGCAGGGACTGCTGTTTGGCTGATCCAAAAGGACACCCAGGACATGGCGACCAGCAATATGGATGGCATGTATGACTGGATGATGTAGACGCCTCGGTTACGCCTCAGCTCGAAGCGAAGGCTGAGCCTTGGAAATCGTCCCGCTGGGAAGACAGAAAACAGATACTGTGTTTAACGGCTTTCCTGAAGAAGCTTATTATCCATTATGAAACTATCCAATTGTTCTTCACAGACCAAGGGGCACAGACTAGTTGAAAAACGGCAAGATGAGAGGCATTAGGAAATATTGCAAGCAACATTTTCCCAGCAGCAACTCCTATCATCTCCTAAACCTCATGCCTGGCTCAGCAGCAAGCCTGGCTTCATACATTCCTTCTATGCATAGAATATAACCACAGAAGTGCTTGAATAAAAAGAAAAATCAAGAAGTCTTCTAACACAAGATCCAAGCCAAGTCAGAAACTCAAAATCGTACATTATTCATAGGACATTCCCTCACATGCTGAGGGCTTGCAAACCAGCTCTACGGAAGGAAAACCTTGAAAAACATGATGGATGCTAACCAGATTTGAAGTTCATCATCTCAGTGACAAACCGATAGTCTGTGATGGTGAACTGGGAGAGCTCTAGTTTGTCCAGGCCGTGGATGTGCTTCTGACTGTCCGACCAGTGGTACACAATGTCCTCTGAGGAGTAGCCATCTAGAAATAAAAAACTGATGTCAAGACATTTTATCTGTCCAAAGATGTGGTTATGTGAGGGTTGTAGCAGTAATGGAGAAAGCTTGTAACATTGTAACCTTTCTTTGGTGTCACTTCACTTTGGCATGAACACGTCAAAAGGAATCCTGAGAGCATAGTTGTTCGTGAATATGTAAAGGAGGGAAAAGATGTTACCACTTACAGCTTTCCAGGTCCAGCATACACTCCTGTTCATCCATAGGATACTTGGTCAGGTCCATGTCACATGCCACCGTTGAAGTGATTCTAGGAACAAAACAGTCCAATGAATCGACCTATATTGTTGATTCTTTACAAATCTACTGACCAACATGTTTTACTAAGAAGTCCTGGTTATCATTCACATGGTTACAACTTGTCAGACCTGGTATCTTTCTAGAGACATCGCCATCCTCTTGTTACCGTAAATAATGAGGAAGAAGAAGTTGTTTAATAAGAGAAAGATACAGAAAGACAGAATACTTTGAGCTGCATTTGATGATTTTCTTTGGCAACTTTGGGAAAGTGAAAATAATCTATAACTACAATATGGACATATCAAGTAAATTGCGCATATTTAAAAAACAGGAAGTACTAATTCATGTTGCAGAAACAGACAACCATTAACATTCACTTGGAGTCGTGTTTTTGGCCAACTGGCAGATGCAATTCCGATATTCTCCGTTTATCTCCTGTGTTTGCTTTCCACCAACTTCTGAGAAAATATTTGGAAATAAAGCTTACTTTATGTTTGACTATATTGAGGAGCCAGACGCTAACTTTGCCTGCTTCATCATATGCTATTGTTAAGAGCAACAAGAGTGAACGTAAAACTAGAACAAGTTTTAAATTGCCAAAAAGCTCCCAAGAGCTAAGGGGAACTGAAAAGGTGGGTGATACATCTTTATGGGTTTGTTTGTTATCCAATCAGATTAGTCTTGCCTGTTGACTGATTGTCGAATCATGTGTTTTGTTCTCATTGGACAGAACACGGTTTGTTAGCTTGCTTGTAATTTGAACTTTCAGCTATAATTCCATTGTAGCCTCATGTTGTTTTTTTAGCATTTCTGAGGCTATCACCAAGATTCTTCTGCGTCTGTAGGTTTTGTATCATGATGTATTGGAGGAAACCAAACAATTCTATGCATAGGCCAAATTGAATGATCCTTTGTTTCAGAAGCAGAATTTGTAACCTCTACTACATCTATTTAACTGTTAATAAAGCTCCTTAGATCAACTCTTGACTATTCAGGGTCACCTCTACATTACTCATTACATCCATTGTTGAGATAGAAGTATTGATTATAGCAGGCTGTGTGAAAATGTTCACTTGCCAGAAAAACAACAGAAAACTTTTGGTTATTTATAGCAGTTTTGGGAGGCACTGACAAACAATGTCATCCTGCCAATAGAGACGGCAGATAAAAACACATATAAGGGATATTTGTAAAAGCAGTGACAAACAGCATATAGTTTGTCATTTCTATCGGAGTGTTTTTATTTTTATAGCCGTCGAATGGTTTTGTTTAAAATGTCATGGATTCTACAGACATACTGACAGTACCACTTTAGCTTCTGTGAAGATTCACCTTGATCCATTTTACCTTCACCTTTCCATATTCCCCCTCATCCGACGTCTCTTTGTACAGTCACATCAGAACATATCCCACTTTTTTGAAGGCTTCTGAAGTCACCTCAGAGAAGATATTTACTTTCAGATCATGGTATGGATCATGAGGGATTTTCAATCCCAAAAACTGCAAATAATAAATGCCTTTGCTCTCAAATGTCTTAGGTTTTGACGGCTTTGAAGAAAAATAAAATAAGCATGGACTTTCTTACATACAAATACAAAGATCCACATCATGGATAGATGAAGTGCTTTCTGTCCCCCTTGTTGTGTTGTCTGACCGTCTGAGTGTGAGAAGCAAAGACAATACTCAGTGTTCTCATACCGGCTGCTGTATAGAATGACTCCATTTGGCTGCAGGCGGATCAGCTTGTTCTCCACAGTGACATCGTGGAACCAAGCAGATTTGGCGTTGACGATGAAGGTGTCGGGTAGCCACAGCTTGTCCACAAATCGACTGTCCAAACCCAGCGTCTTGTTGGTGTGATTGTAGGACAGGCGGTCGTCTTTCCAGCTCTGCCGCAGGTACACGGTCATGGTGTAATCCTGGCATGAACAATACAAATTCAAACACACAGACACAAACATATAGGCTGAGTCATCGGCATCGGAAGACATTCTTTCTAATACTAGTTTCAGTATTAGAAGAAGGAAACTAACTTTACATCAAGAATCTTTTTTAAACAAAATCCAATGCAAATTGTGTGGTTTAATGTTAGATTGAGTAAAGTCTACAATTATAGAATTAAATACAGATAAGGATTAAACTGGAACCCAACCTATATTAATAAAACATGAAGATAATTTACAGGTTGTGAGCAATACTACCTTTGTCAACTCTTTAAAGTTAAAATGCCTTTTGGGATCTCTAGTATTCTGTGTTTTTGGAGCTTAACCCATTAAAGTCTGGATTTTTCTACCTCTGATGCGTCAATTTCGACCATTCACTTTTTTAAACCATCAATCACATGTCGACAAACTTAATGGAACTGTAAAGCTTAATTGTAGGAGAACTCCTTTAATTACTAAATTTAAGTAAACTATGTAAAGTTAAGTGACTATAATGTGTCAAATCTTACTGTAGACCAGCATTTCTTATTTAATTTAGATATTTTTGAAAGTGTTTTCATAGGAGGAACAAGTTGTGATTTAGAAGGAGATATGCTATCTCTGACTTTTATTTAATTTTTTTTATCAGTGTCCTTTTGTTGTGAAGCGCTTAGAGATTTGTCTTGGCAGATGAGAAGTGCTATATAAATTCAATGTATTATTATTATATGCACATTTGCAACTGCTATAACTATTAGTCCTTTGCTCAAATGAAACATACTGATACTGTCGGAAATAATCTTGTTCATAGTATTTAACTTCAATAGGAAGAATGATAAAGGGTAATAGCTGACCAAAATGTAGATCCTAGTTTAATTTCTACTCTTGTATTCAACCTATTCACATCTTTCTGTGAGAATACCTGTGGTGTGCTTTTCATGCACCTTTATTTGAACACTTATTGGAGAATTTTCAACTACTGAAGCAAGGAAAATATGAACTTGTTTGGAAAAGAATCAGGGTTTCATCCATAAAACTGCATCCCCCCACCATATTTGGTTCTCACCACAGAATCCCTGAAAGTATGAAATTATCTAACAACTCAGCCAACGTGTCACACACGCTCACTTTGAGTACTTCCAAACCCTCCAGTGGGATAAATCAGGATTATGCAAATAGCGAATCTTTGATCTTTGCCGCAATAGTGAATTTAAGGGATGATAGACAATCTTAGTGTGGAAGGAAGTGTGAAAGTGACTGTATACTCTACCATGTTGGCTTCGGAGATGTGGTCGATGCTGGCCACTTCGATGGCCATGGCCACGTTGACTGGTGGACCTGCGAGGTGGAAAAGTCAGAAAAAGAAAGCAAACCCTATGCCCAGACACAAACTCACACACACACACACACACACATTCTCTGCTCATTCTAAACCCATCAATCCCTTCCAACCTAGCTCCATCACCCATCTTTTTCCCTCCCACCTACCATCCTCCCACGTCTCAAACACTCCTACAGTGCATGGAGATTAAGCATTATCCAGTTTAACCAAGCTAAGTGGCACATCACACTATGGGCATTCATAAACAGCGCACACACACACACACAGACACACACACACACACACACACACACACACACACACACACACACACACACACACACACACACACACACACACACACACACACACACACACACACACACACACACACACACACACACACACACACACACACACACACACACACACACACACACACACTGTAGCATTTCCACTCAACAGTTTGCCATATGATTAGCATGGAGTGTGTCTCTGTGATCGGATGCTAGAGGGCAGAAACTACAGGGGAGCGCACTGATGCAGAACAGAAAGGCTATTTATACTGAACATTAAGGAATCATACATTACCATTCCCCACCATTCAACACCTTCCCATAACAATTTCTAGCAAATGGTTCTCTATTGGCCATGCACTGGATCAAATGTATAGTGTGCGGTGATTTACAATGGCATGGTAATTACATGCCAAGGTCACCAGGAGCGAGTTTAGAGGGTGTAACATGATGTAAGCTTGTTTTATCCTCCAGTGGCTCTGCACACATTAATAATACATTTGTAATATACATATATATACTATACAAATGTATATGTAGTTAAATAGAACATGTTGCTTTCAACAATCCTACCATAGCGATGCTGTTATATTTATGTTAATGTGTCATTAGTTTTGTGTCATAAAGCTTGGAAGAAATAACATGAATATTACACATATACAATGAGATTCAGAGATGTTTTAAGTGCCTTGAAAAAGCACAAGTAGGTTTTTAACTCTGTATTCTGCTACTGATACGGTGGCCAAGAGAGGTCAACATTTTATATATTGTTTAACTTGTTGTGTTTGTTTGGGAGGCATGCCATTTAACAGTCGATTTGGACAAAAGTATCTGCAAACTGAATTGTTTTAATGTAAATAAATGTAATTAATAATAATATATATATATATATATATATATATATATATAATTAATAAAAAACAATTTGTAAAAAGCAATAACTTTTACAAATAATTTTGTAAAGTAGAAACCAACCTTCTTGTTTCATAAATATTCCTTTTACCCAAATAAAATTGTGCACATTTTCGATTGCACAAGAAGGTTGGTTAAAGTAATAAAACATCTATAAAATAATTTGTTTCTTTTTTATGTCTCCCAAAACAATAATGTAAATCACTAATATTGTTTGTTATTTCATAAACAAATAAATTGACATTTTTACTTCATGTGGAGTCATATTTGTGAATCTTATCTTATTTTCCGGATGCAAAACATGCCTAGAATCCTTTTTATATACAGCATATCTGTGTTAGTTTGATATTTACTGTCTAATGACACAAACCATACTAAAAGTCTATAGGATGTCTGTTGAATGACGGTAATCTCTCCCAATAACACACACGATTCCTTAGTGTTCACAAACAGCTCTCAGCGCATTAAGATGTCACACCAATAGTAATGCAGTCACCACATGATGCTGTGTAATGATGGTCTGTGTGGAGCTCTGGGCGGCGTGTGGTTCTCCACATTTTCACCTTTTGCTCAGCTGAGTTAAGCTGTGAGATTGAGAAATCTATCGCTGTGGTCATTGGATGTTTCACATCTTGCAGCCATTCTTAGCAAAGTCAGTCGGTGGTGCTCATTGTTTGCACCACCCGTCCTTGAGGGGCATCGTCCCACATAATCCCGTAAGCAAAGCATCTCTTAGAATAGATGTGTTTCCAAAGCAGGTATTAACAGGAGGTAAATACGGCTTTGTTCTAACGGGAAAAAATGAACAAAGGCACCTCTCAGGTGAATAGAATTAGAAAATGAAATGTCCTCGTTGCTGCAGCTTGTGGTGGGGGGATGCTAAGGATGGCTGTAAATGTGAGGGGGTGAAATGCAACCCAACGCCACGAGCAGTAGATCTCGTACTCACCTCCTATCCCAGGGCGAAAATTTCTGGCATAGCCCTTCATTAATTCATCCAGATTAGGTAACCAGGATATTTCAATGTCTGAACCTACATAGTCCCCAATGTCACTCAGCATGGCCCTAAAAGAGACACACAGCAAACACAGGAGGCTTCAGCGGTCGTTCGGCCACGCCATGTGTCCACAGGAGAGTCTCAGATACATTCAGGAACAAACACAGGGGGAATAAGCCTTGAAAGGTGAGAGTGTGTTACCTTCTGAAAGAAAAAAGTGTTAGAAGTCACTGTAAATAAACTTTTCCTGCACCTGCATGACCTCATCAGGTAGCACTTTTTTGAGAAGCCAATGTCTATAATGAATTAATGATATAGTTATAATATTCACTGTATGATTGTATTTATACCAACGCAGACTTGAACCTACCACTGAGACAGCATGCCTTTCTTTCCATTTACAGCCATATAACTTATAGCTAAATCGGGCATACATAATCAATCCTCTTATTTGTATGCGTGGTTCTTGACCACCAAACACTTTGCCTAATGTTTTATAACAGTATCATCATGACACATTGAAAATAATTTTAGAATGACTTAAAAGGTCAAGTGACATACAACTTCATCATTTTTTAAGTAGCAGTGTATTATAGTTCCCATTCTCATAATATGATCTCTTTAAACGCATAATGATCACTATCATTATGCAAGGTAATGTGATTACATCTTACATAAGTGGTGATTAGGTGCTATAAGTCAAGTTATACAATTATATAGCAGAAACATTACAAGCTTGTAATGTAATGTCGCAAATTAAGAATAATTATGATACTTGACCTTATTTAATGCTTTGTAATGTTGAATTAATTAATATTGCCATAAAAGCATTATGAATATTAGTGCTTAAAACTATAATTAAACAGTGCTACATGAAGATGCATAATAGACATGGGCTTCAGAGATAGTGTTACCCTTTTTGGCCACTTGGGGGCAGCAGAACCAGCTGTAAACACAACAAGGTCATATTATCACCTTGTAAAGTTGTTAGGACAAACGTGTCAAGTATTAATCTACAAATCCGGTAACATAGACATTTATTGGGAGCTGTGTTCCTGTTCTCTTGATAAATGTAAGTCCGATATTCACTCTCCTTTTAGCTCTCTCCTGGTCTCCATCATCTCTTGAAGGAAATATCTGTCCAAGCTAGCAGCTAACTGATAGCATACAATAGGTTTGTCACTACATAATCCCCTTTTTCACTGTACAACAAAGTCATTTTAACTGATGGTCATACAGGATATTGGAATAGTGCAGCTTTGATTTTGAGTGTTGTAAAATGTGGTCTGTTAAACATAGGGATCTCCATCTAATTCTAAGGTTTATTGCAAACCTATTCAATCATGATTTTAATTATAGAATTGTGATTGTCCTCAACACAATGTTTCCAGTGATTATATTTCACAAATTATATAATATAAAGTTGAAAGCCATGTGTGGAAATTCAGTTCAAGAAGCTACAACATGTTTACATATTTCTGCCACATACTATCAATTCAAGTTTTCCTAATCGCTCCAATCCTTTAAATTATTCATTATTGAATTAATTGCATGGAGTCTCTTAAACTTACAACAACAATAAGGATAAATGTGACCACATTAATATTTAAAGAGATAAAAGTGGGATAAAGCTGGCCCTTTTTTCTTTTTCATGCCGCCTCTGTTTTTACTCTGTGTATTTAGTTAATGTCACTAAGTACTTTATTTTAAAACATTTATGAGTCATTCAATATTATATATGTGCTCCTACACAGTAAAATCCGGAGTGTTGATTTAACACTGTAGATAAGGACCATATGTTCACATATGCTCTCAGTGTTAAAATTGACTCTTTAAGTGTGTTAATCCCTCCCTTTAAGTGTTAATTTAACACTTAAAGAGTACATTTTAACACTGAGCCAGTGAACATATGGTCCTTATCTACAGAGTGTTAAATTAGCACTCCGGATTTTACTGTGTACATGTACATAAATCCAATGAAGAATTTAACTTTTTTCAGCATGAACATGAACAAATGATGTGGTCATTTCATAATACATTTCCAGCCATTAGCTGCATCCTTTAAATCAGTGGTTCTCAACTGGTGGGTCGCGACCCAAAAGTGGGTCGCGGACCCGTTTCGAGTGGGTCGCGGATGTGTGAGTGAAGAAAAAAAAGTTGAAAAAAAAAAATTGGATTTTTTTTTTTTTTTTTTTTTTGTGGAAAAACCCAAACTTTTATTTTGAAGGCCCGATTTTCTTCTCAGAGTGTACCAGAATGCGTAGTTTGTTAGTATTTCTAAAAATCTCCTGGGGGAAAATCCCCCCAGACCCCCCTGCTGGGGTTGGGTTTCAGCATGTGTGCCTTTTTATATAGTTCAGCTTTGATTCCATCATCTCATTAAACCTTTTAAAAGCATACTTTAGTTCTGTGAAGGGATATAAGGGATATATGCACTGTACTTCACTTTTTTTAATATTGTATATTCAAAAGCGTATATATTACAGCACAATTTTTTGTTGAATAGATTTCAGTGCTTCAAAATGTTGGGTCGCGATGTATTGACCAAGTAAAAAGTGGGTCCCGAGGCCTGACCAGTTGAGAACCACTGCTTTAAATTACCTATACTAGCATACAAAAGCCACATTGGATAAAGCCTGGTTGGCATTTATACTTATATTATGTTCTCCATAGGGTGCATTTGTCTTATGGAGGCCAAACTGATTCTCCCAGTGTGAGACTGAACTGAACATTATGCTGTGCCCCCAGTACCTTTTTATTTTAATACGGGAACATTTTTAACTAACCTTTTAGTTAGATACATTTTCTGAAATGTGATGTTTAAATATACAAATTAGGCATGTGAATTTGCATATATTTCCAGGACAAAAATGGGGGTATTTGATTTGTTTAAGGGACAGGCTCAATATAATTCCATTTGGTTGACATATTAGTGTCAAAGATCTTTACAGAAGAAATAACATGTATAAATATGTCTTTGTATCAATCCTTAAATCAGAAAATGCTGAAAACAGCTTAAAAACAATCTATTTCTGCCATTTAAAGAATATATAATCAGGGTATGAGTTATATATAACAACAGCGCTCTCTGAACATCTTTAGAAAATAGAAAGGAATGAAACTGGAGAGGCTGGATATATGAAAAAGATAAAACTATCTTTGAGAAAATATATATACTGTATGGTACAATTCCATACATTTGACAAGACACAACAGATGGGTAAATTGAACTAATGGATATTACCATGAAACTTCCCCATTTCATCACTTACATTTAGACGGGTTATGTTTTAAATGTGCAAATGAAGCATCAACTCATTTAGGATAAAATAAAAAGTCCCACATAGACGGTTACTTTATTAAACCATAAGTGTATATTGTGGATGTGTCTGAAATAAAACATGTTATTAGAGAAAAAAGCCCCTTTAAAACTCCAAGGTATGAAAAACATGTCCTGTAGTTTCCCACATTAAAAACATGTCTGATAGACTACATATTCACATCTATTAAGTCTTTGAGTGAGCAGCTTATTACATCACAGTCTCTAGTTTTGGACCATGACACCTCAATTCAAGTAGTAGGCTTTCCTCTTTCCTCTAACCTCACACGAGGGAAATAAAAGTGAAATAAAAAAAAGATTGCCTCATATAATAAAACTCCCCAGAGGCCCTGGGGGACTGCTAAAGGGCCCGGAGCCCAGACTGACAGACACTGGCACTGTGTGGGATATAAAAGCAGCTCATCTCAGAAACCACCAGGTGGCAGTTTTGCATTCTGAAAAAGAGCCTGTAAACAGATGACATGCAGATAGACACCATGCTGGTGTATAGCACAGTGTGGACCTTTCTGTATGTGTGTTTCAATTGGGTCAGAGAACAAAGAGCTGACTTTAAAAAAGAATGTTATAAAATGAAAGGTTTCACTGACATTTGGAGTCACAAAGGCTGGTGGTGACATTGACGTGGAAATATGGGGGCCTTGATCGAACGCGTGATAATTGAACACAAATGAAAAGCCTTTCAGTGGCCTTTGAAATAAGCCTGACATTTGGAGAAAGTCCACTTCCTAGAGAGCGACGCATTACATCCACAGCTACGGAAAGCTGACCTCCACAGCAAAACATGAAACAATCATCTGCTATACAAATGGTTACAAAAAGAAACCCAGGCAAAAAATGTATTTCTGCCATGTCATTAACATTTTCCTCGCTAATCCATTTTGCAGGCAGATGTATTTTTAGTACGGCAATCACTGTCGTGTGTGAAATAAATGGGAGCACCGAGTGAATTAATTAATCACTGTGTGACTCCTGGATTTCTGCACTAATTGGTACTTTCTAAATATGGAAATAGTGAGCTTTCCCTCCAAAAAGTGTGTTAACACACCAAGGTCAAACAGGCCTTTTGCAAGACAAATCCTGCAGTATTGGTTGATTTATGTAACTTCATGTTCATTTTTAGGCGCTTGCTGTATCATGTTTCCATGGTGATCGAGTCAGCTTTGATTTAAAAGTGTTTTTTTTAGGTGTATCACAAATCTTTCCTTTTTTATCTTTTAAAAGCCTGTCTTCTAATTTGTCCAATATGACATGTATTAATATAGCAATCGATTACAGACATATTGTTTTATTTGTCTTTATGTCACAGAGAGAAGCATAACAGCTTTTTGGTTGGATTGATTTCGATTTTCTGTCAATGCAATCTGATATGTTTTGCTAATATTTAATCTACTTTTTATTTTAAACACATCAGAAGTCACTTTAGAAGATTTTCTAAAATACTTGAATGTGAAAGTTTTTATCTACTTAATAAATCTTGAATATTTTTGTATCAATAATTGCTTCTAACTAGCAAATTGGACATTTAGTTCAAATGTAAAAAAGTATTACTTTAATTAAATATAGCCATTTAAAGATGTTATCTGACTCCAGAAATAAATAGATTTTGAGAAAGATGTTTCAACCTTATCTTTTTGCATTTTGAAGCCAAAAAGAAGCCTAAAGGAAACACATGCAGCTCGCTGGGAGTAGACTAAATGTTCCTGTTTGCTGCTAAAAACACATACAAAG